CCGGGACGGAGCACGCCGGGTTCTCACCGGACCAGGCTCTCACATCACCAAGGGCGAAGCGCCGTGAGATATTCGGCGAGTCGCATGAAGGGTGCGCTGCATCCTGCTAAGGGTTTTCGGCATCTTGTGCTTACTTCCTTGCATACGGATGACAGCTGCGTGTGACTTAAATTATTTTCTGGTGCTTCACTTCCAGAGACAGTTGAAAGCACTGTGCAACTGCCTCGAGGGTGCTTGACAATTTTAACATAACGTGGTGCGATCATCCCCCTTGCGCGGGTGAGGGTTCTCGACCCCGCACAACATGATCTACTCGACCACCATTATGGTTACCGCCAAAAAAAAACCGGAGGTAAAAAAAAAGAAGACGGTAACCTGGTTGCCGAGTTCACGAAGTGAATTGGCTTGTTTTACAACGTCGTTGCCAAGCGCCGAAAACCCAACCCCGATGGCAAACACCGGGGGGAGGGGTGGGCCGGGGGGGAAAACAAACAAGGGTAGAATCTCCCCCCGCTCGCTCGCCCTCTCATCCCCGCTCAAACTGCTGCCGTTGCCGGTGGCGCCGCTCCCGCCGTCTGTACTGCCGGCGACAGGGCTCCCGCCGTCGCCGCGGCCGGCGACGGGGCTCTGGCCGAAGCCGTCCGCACCGTCGCCGCTCCCGACGTAGCAGCTCTGGCCTAAGCTGCCGCTGGCGTCGCCGCTCCTTCTGCAGCTACTGATGCCGGCGGGGCTCTGGCCAAAGCCTTCCTTACCACTGTCGCCGCCGCTCCCGGTGGTGCCGCTTGGTGCGAAGCATCACCCCCCGGCATGTGCCCGTGCCTCTCAACCTCGATCGAACGGGAGGTCCACTCCCAGCACGGCCCCCCTGGTCGCTCTCCTCCACCATGACCACTTCCTTCTGTAGACGAGATGCGTTGACGCTCCACCCCAGGCCGTGCATTTCCGCCGTCGCCGCCGCTGCTGCGGCGACCACCGCTGCTCCGGTCCTCCTTACCACCGCTGTTGTGGTCTCCCTTCTCACGCACCTCCTGCGCAAATAATCCTCCCGGGTCAAAAGTGTACGACGCGCCCCTCTCGAAACCGTAGATGCCGTTGTCTCCACCGCTGCTACAGGTCTGGCCACCGCCGCCGCCACTGCCGGCGAATGCACCTTGGCTCCCCCCCCTGCCCAAGCATCGGAGGAGGCTCCACTACTTCACGCCGCTGCTGCCGACTTTCGTGCTGCTCACGGCAGGATCCTCCAGGACAAACACTGCTGCTTCGGTCGCTCTTGTCGCATCCTCCGACTGTTCTTCACATACCACCGCCACCGCATCCGTCGCAGCAGCTGCCGCCGTCGCTCCCGGCGGCGTTGCTCCTGCCGGCACAGCCCTCGCCGAATCCGCCGCTGCGGCCGCCACTGCGGATGCTGTTCCACAAACCCCAACCGTTGTAGATGGGGCAGCAGGACGGATCTCATCGACATGGTCTGCTGTGGGTGATGGCACAAATGAGGCTGCTGGCTGCTGCTGCCGCGACTATTGCTTGTGTTGTCGTGATTCCGCAGACGGCGAAACAACAACGTGATACGATACAAGCACGCGTTTCTCCGCTACACGCCTACTGCTGTATCCCGCCTCCATGAGGCCCAGTGCGTCGCGCTACCGCGCTACTCCAAGCGCTACACGTTATGTCGTGGGTCGCGGGGGAGAATGAGCGGCGGGGTGCGTAACTGCGTTGGGAGAAGCTACGTTGGCGGGGGCTTTTACGGGCAAAGACGCCGCAACGAACGGCAAACGAACCGGCAGCAGCCCCCTCCACCTTCTGGCCAACAAACACCCCACCACTAACCTGTCCAACCATACCGCCGGTGGGGCCGGCCGCCAGCTGCTGTTGCCGCGGCTGCTGCTGAAATCCACCAGCGCTGCCACACACCAAGCCTGGCTTAAGCTGCTGTTGCTGCTGTTGCTGCTGCTGCTGGAACACAGACCCGCCGCCAAAGCCACCGTTCCTCCGCTGCTGCTGAAACGGTCCGCGGGCGAAAGCTTGAGCTGCACCAGGATCTCTACTGCAAGACTGTAGAGGTTCCTGCTGTCGACGAGGCTGCTGCGGTAGAGGCTGTTGCTGTTGGTGACACCGTTGGGGCATGGGTTGCTGCTGTACCGGTTGCGGTGGTATGAACCTCTGCTGCTCGCGCTGCCGCTGCTGCTGCCGCGGGTGGTTGAACTTACAGTACGGACTTACATGACCTTTCTCTCCACAGGAGCTGCATTCTCCGTAGTAGCGAACCGGCGTCATGCAGATGTTCGCGACGTTCCCAAGGCAACAACAAAGGTTGCACGTGGGAACAGGTTGCCCCCTGTGGGATAGGGGTTTGGGGCTGAGGCCAGACGACATTCCTGCCGTAGTCGAAAGGACGTGCTGCAGCAACAGTAGTAGTACGGTGCTACTGCTGCTCGGGAGGGGGAGCAGCGGGAGGGCGTGGGCATTCCTTGGGCACCAGCTGGTGCTGATGCTGATACTGGCAGTGCCCTGTAAGGACGTGGTTGTGGCGGCTGCTCTGCTGGTGCACTCCTCTCGTCACCTGCTGCTGGTGTCCGCCGTACCACACATGAGACTTCTTCCCCTCTCCTCCCTCTGAAACAAATTGGTTTGGGTCGATCCTTCCGTTTTTTCTAATTATGATCTCCCGGATCCACCGCCGGGCCCACCCCCGGCATGTACACCTCCTCCGGCTGCCCACCCAGCGTGACCACCTGCTGCCCTCCCAGCACTCTCCAATGCAGCTATCTTGTCCATCGCCAGTGCAAGCGTCTTACTCATCTCTTCCGCAGCCCTCTCCGCTGCTGCTGCCCTCTCCGCGGCTAATGCCTTCTCTGCAGCACTTTCATCCGACATCGGTCGAATTTTGTACGATGAATCGTGATTGTGTATTCTACCCTGTGAGCACCCACGGAGATTGCCGTGCCCACCCACGGAGGAAATCGTGCCCACCCACGGTATGACGTCTGTCTGGGGACTGTGTTGACCCGGAGGACCGATGCAGATGATACATTACCTTGACTAACACACACGTGCTCTTCCAGCACGGACCGAAGTCAGTACAGGTCCTGTTCCAGTGAACACAGTAGTGGGCAGTATTGTGCGGTTGCTTCTTGCTTCCTTATGCCACGCGGTTCGGCCATCCGACGCCGCCAACCTTTTTGTTCATCTCCACGATGACCCGGTGGTGACTTCCGGTGTAGTTTGACCAATCTGTACCTTCTGGTTCCATGATGTCAACGAGATGCAACGTTTGCATTGTTTCCACTTCCGGCTATCCTTGTGCTTTGTCCTGTATTATGGCGCGGTCATGCGTACCTGATGGGCTCACATACACCCGCATTCATCTTATCCAGGGATTCGCCGAGATGATCCACTACAAGCAGACCGTCAAGATGCAGTCAGGAAATGTAGATGCTACGCATATCGAGTCTCGGGGCGCCCGACGTCAACACCCTCCGCAGGTGTGTCCTGTACCGTATACGTCTACCTGATTATCCTAGACGGCACTCTGTGCTGGCAACCTCGGGAAGCCGTTGCTAAGTTGTCATGATATCCAATACCCGCTACCGCAATATGTGTAGACCATGTGGAGGAGGCTAGACACTCAACGAATGACAAAAACGCGTGTTCAAGTCAACATGAGCGTGCGACCGCACAAGTATACACATCGAGCAACGCAATGTATAGGGTTAAGCGTATGTTCTGTGGCGCTTTGTTTTATCGTAAAAACCAGGTGCATTTGGAATCGGTCGTCATCCGAGATTGAGGAATGAGCTCTTCGTTCCTTTTGGAATTTTCTGTACGACGGAACGCGGTACTGCTTTACAAAGCTGGGAGTTAAGAACATAACGCTCGAGAGCATCGAAACTTTACGCCCTTGACGACAAGGATAGGTGCTCAGGTGAGAATCATAACCACCTACAAGCTGGGCCAGCCAAGAAGTCAACGAAATGGTTAGAAGCGACTTCCGAGCCGGTTTTTACGAATTGGAACCTGAAATTGTGATATGTGATTGGAAACAGTCTTACAAACGCCCCCGAGTCAGATGCCGTTTTTTTTTTTTTTGGCGAGGTATCCCTATATTCAATAACTGAGAATCCTAGCATAGGGGTTTTTGTGGCTTTAAAAAAAAAAAAAACGGCATCTCACTCGGGGGCATTTGTAAGACCACTCCTAATCACATATCAAAATTTCAGGTTCCAATTCGTAAAAACCGGCTCGGAAATAGCAAATTGCGTCATGACCTCGATACCTGGGTGCAGGGGCGGAAATTGTGTAGGAAAATGAAGGCCTTACAGCCCGAGAAAAGGGGCGCGAAAGCGGCCTGATGGCAAGAGGCGCACAGATGCTGACTGTACCCCTTTGGTGGGACAGGTAGGTGTGGGTGCTTATCGATCGTAATGACGTGACACACAAACATGCAAGAGGTTGTAATCTGAAGGTAAGCGCTCCAAAAACGCATGACAAATGTTTTGCACAAATCGCACAAAAGTTGACGTTTCTTTGTACATAACAAAAAACACTTCGTTCGTTGGTTGACAGGGGTTAAAAAACACCCGCTTATCTAAAAACAACATTCAAACTGACAGACTCATCAACACACACACACAACTTCTCGCACCGGTTAATCTTACAGAAAAAAATG